GAATTCATGGAAAAAGTCACTTACAAGTGACAGTCCATGCATGCAATCACCAAGGGTTGGATATGACTGGATGGATAGATAGATAGATAGATAGATAGATAGATAGATAGATAGATAGATAGATAGATAGATAGATAAACTGGTGTGGTATTTTCTGATACTCATTGAAACTGAAGAAGTGGCTTGAGGAAGCCACAAAAGTTCTTCAACATTACAGAGCAAGTCCAGTTGAATAAGACTACCAGCAGATACACCATGAGCTGGATAAAAGAGAACCTTCTCATGCAACAGAAGAATCAAATATTTTAAATACTTGATTTTATTTATTCACTTGCAATGTTCCTCCTTGAACATCATAGTTCTCTCCTCTTCGGGGAGTGTCTAAGTACTGTCTATGCTGACCAAGCACATTAGTCCTTCTCCTCATCTCCCTACAAAGCCTTTCATGTAGGTGCTGAGTAAGACACAAAAGGGAATATTACAGAATGCCACTTGACTGACATCTCTGAATCAACTGGGGTGCTGACATCCCATCCAAGATGGCGGCACCCAGCAGCATTCTTATGGATTTGGATGTTTAAGCAAAAGAGGTTTTACCAGGTTAATAACATGCATACAATATGTTACATGCGCATATAATCTTATAGAAAGATTTTTGTTGTTGGGTCCCTTTAATGGGCAGCTCCACTATGCACAAATCAGCAGAGTGAAATGTGTGTGTGGATTGCAGTGGTAGTATTTAACAAACTACACACTCTTTAGTCCAAATGACCCAGCTTCAATGAATAGTAATGCTTCCTTTGAAAGGATCAGACCACCCATAATAACAAGATTGCATTGTCATATTGCAATCTCATGTTAAGGGGATATATCATTCCTGGGCAAGGAGGGTCGATAAGGAGTTTCAGAAACCACCATGTCACTGGTAGCTAAGATAATGGGGATTAAACGAGCAGAAAACCACGACCCACCAAGAGTTAGTGATCAGCAATGGAGGCAGAAAAGACGAGTTTGTGAAGCCTCCATCAATAGGGTTAGTGTCTGCGACACGGTAATACCAACAGGATCTGCTTTCCTTTCCATTAGCAGTAATAGCAACATTAATGTGCTTTTTACAATATTCTCCTGTGCGACCTCTCATAGCTGGCTATCATCTGCAGTGAGAAAATGCGTACTAAAAACCTCTTATTTTTCCTCTTCGCCTCTCTAAATATAAACTTAAAATAATCCTCCTTCCACTTTCAGGAACACCGCTAATGCTAACAACTTTAATGGTGGTATAAATAACAGCTTATAAGAGCGGCTGGATGTGTGCGGATGTTGTATCATTTTTTTCTCTGTCTCTGCCTCAAAGTGGAAATACAAGGCTGAGGCCTGACTAGGAAAAGTGCTGCTATTGTTTATATACCAATTCCACTACAAAGAGGAAGGAAGGAAGGAAAGGAAGGTTGGTTGAAGAGGAAAAGAAGAGAGAAAGAAAGAGAGGAAGAAAGAGAAAGAAAGAGAGGAAGAAAGAGAAGAGAGAAAGGGAGAAAGAAAGAGAAGAGAGAAAGGGAGGAAGAAAGAGAAGAGAGAAAGGGAGGAAGAAAGAGAAGAGAGAAAGGGAGAAAGAAAGAGAAGAGAGAAAGAGAAAGAAAGAGAGAGAGAAAGGGAGAAGAAAGAGAAGAGAGAAGGGAGGAAGAAAGGAAGAGAGAAGAAAAAGAGAAGAGAGAAAGGGAGGAAGAAAGAGAAGAGAGAAAGGGAGGAGAAAGAAAGAGAAAGAGAGAAAGAGAAGAGAGAAAGAGAAAGAGAAGAGAGAAAGAGAAGAAAGAAAGAGAAAGAAGAAAGAAGAGAAGAAAGAAAGAGAAAGGGAGGAAGAAAGAGAAAGGGAGGAAGAAAGAGAAAGGGAGGAAGAAAGAAAAGGAGAAAGAAAGAAAGAAAGAAAGAAAGAAAGAAAAAAAAGAGGGAACAAAGAAAAGGATAAGAATTAGAGGGATAAGTAAATGATGGAAGAAAAATGAAGGATCAAAAAAGTGGGATAAAGAAGGAAAGAAAGAAAAGAAGATATGTGAAAAAATGAAAAGGTAAGAAAGTAAAAAAAAAAAAGAAATAAGAGAAAAAAAAATAGGAAGAAGGGATGGAAGAAATTAAGAAAAAAAAGGAAAACCGGAGAAAGAAATGGAGAAAGAAATAAAAAAAAGGTTGAAAGAAAGAACAAATAAGCAAAAAAAATGTTCACTGTCTCTTACTCAAAGTGGTGAGACGAGGCTATGGCATAAAAAAAAAAAAAAAAAAACCATACTGTAAATGTGCTTATTACAATACTTTTCTGCGTGACCTCTCATAGCTGGCTATCATCTGCAGTGAGAAAATGTATAGTAAAAACCTCTTATTTTTCCTCTAAATATAAACTTTATATAATTCTCCCCTCACTTTCAGGAACAACGTTAATGCTAACAACTTTAATGGTGGAATAAATAACAGATTACAGGAGTGGATGGATGTGTGCAAATGTTCATTGTATCATTTTTTTGTTGGATGTACTCGGTCTCTTCCTCAAGGCGGTGATACAAGGCTAAGGCCTGTTACCAGGAAAAGTGATGCTATTGTAAGAAAGAAAGAAAAATAGATGGAAGAAAGGGAAGAGAAGGGATAATGGAGGGAGAAGAAAGAGAAGAGAAGGGATAATGGAGGGAGAAGAAAGAGAAGAGAAGGGATAATGGAGGGAGAAGGAAGAGAAGGAAAGGGAATACAAAGGGAGAAGGAAGAGAAGGGAAGGATAATGGAGGAAAAAGGAAGAGAAAAGAAGGGGGTACCAGAGGGAGAAGGAAGAGAAGGGAGGGTATAACAGAGGAAGAAGTAAAAGAAAGAAAGAGATAATGGAGGGAGAAGGAAGAGAGGGAACGGGATAACGGAGGGAGAAAGTAGGAGAAGGTAAAAAAGAGGGAGAAAGAAGAGAAGGGATAATGAAGAAGGAAGGGAAGAGAAGGAGAAGTAAGAGAAGGGGGGGATAACAGAGGGAAAAGGAAGAGAAGGGAAGGGATAACAGAGGGAAAAGGAAGAGAAGGGAAGGGATAAACAGAGGGAAAAGGAAGAGAAGAAAAGGAATAACAGAGGGATAAGAAAGAGAAGGGACGAGATAATGGAGGGAGAAGGAATAGAATTGAAGGAATATTAGAGGGAGAAGAAAGAGAAGGGAAGGGATGATGAAGGGGAAAGGAAGAGAAGTAATGATGGATGGAGAAGGAAGAAAAGGGAAGGGAAAACAGAAGGAAGAGAAGGGAAGGGATGAAAGAGGGAAATGGAAGAGGAGGAAAGGGATAATAGCAGGAGAAGGAAGCAAAAGGAAGAGATAGCAGAGGGAGAAGGAAGAGAAGGGATAACAGAGGAGGAAGGAAGAGAAGGGGAGGAATAGAAGAGGGAAAAAGGAACAGAAGGGAAAGGATAACAGAGGGAGTTATATATAACTCTTAGCTAGAAAGGCTGAGCAGCAGAGTCAAATTTGGGTCAGGGCTGAGAGGCTCTGCAGATCAGTCCCTGATACCTCCCCCTGCTCTGGAATCTTGGAAAAGATTCTAGAAGCAGTGCAGGGGTGAGGAGGGTGTGATCTACATCTTAAGGGATCCTAACCAATCCCCAGGCCCAGCATGAGGTCAGGACAGCCCTTGAGTATGACTAAGCCTGAACAGCAGCACCACGTCAGCCCCCCCCCCCAGTGTCAGAATGCCCGCTATAAGTCTCTGATCACCGCCATTACTAGTAAAACAAATAAAGTTTCCAGTATTTATACCGCCATATGTAAACGCTATAACTTTCACGTAAACCAAATCATTTGTACATACTGGGAATTCTTTTAGCAAAGACATGGAGCAGAATACATTTTGGCCTATATTTATGACAAAATTCGATTTTTTACATTTTTGTTTACTGGATATATTTAATAGCAAAACGTCAAAAATATTGTTTTTTTTCTCAAAATTGTCAGTCTTTTGTTGTTTATAGCGCAAAACATAAAAAACTCACAGGTGATCACAAAGCACCGAAAGAAAGCTCTATTTGTGGGGAAAAAAAGACGTAAATTTAATTTGGGTGCAGTGTTGCATGACCGCGCGCAATTGTCAGTCAAAGTTACGCAGCGCCATATCGCAAAAAATGGCCTGGTCAGGAAGGGGGTGGAATCCCCAGAAGTGGTTAATGCTTCCCAGTTAGGTAATCCCCTTTGTTCACTGCCAATTTACTATGAAGCACACTCTTCTACTTGTGAAAGGTTCTCCTAATTACCTGCCATTTCCCATAACTCCCCCCTGTCTTTCAGTTGTTCTTTTGCATTGTCACTTCTGTCACATGTACTCCCTGGTGGAAAATTCTTTATTTTACACAATGCTTTAGAAATTAAATATCCAGCTCGGCTTTTCTTGCCCCAGCGGCAGCCCAAGCGTTTGAACCCGTCCAGTTTTTATCACAGAATGAGACTGATTGATGACTTTTACACTTTCTGAACATCGGAGGGACAAGATGACTCACCTCGGGTCTTTTATAATGTCAGTGCTGAGACTGGTTTAAAAGTTGGTTTTTAATTAGCTCCTTTGATGGTTGTGGCAACAACAGATTTCCACAAATTTGCGGTCTGTCAGTTTCTCGGCCCCAGCCTCTCTCTGTAGGTGGATGGTCTAATATAGCAACGTAATTGCCTATAACAACAATGTTATTAATGTTGTTGTCATTCATTCATGGGAAGCTGTGGATATAATTTTAAGCGAGTCGACATTCTGAGTTATTATTGTAACAGCCCCCCAACTTTTTCAATGTGACTTGCTGTTTCGTATTTTTAGGACTGTAGTTTTCAGATCTACCTCTGTCTTTAGAACCAGTAAGGTGGTCAGCATTAGAGATGAGCGAAGTATTCAAAAATTCGATTCGACTGATTCGGCGAATTCGTGGAAAAATTTCGATTCGAGTCGAATAATATTCGCTGTGAATTTAACTCTTAATAAAGGGTGTTTCTAGGCTTCAGAGAGACTTAATATTTAGTGCTGAAACACTGTACCTTTTAATTTAAATGCCCTTGGAGTCTGCTGGGGAGGAGAAAATAATACATGTCAGTCAGTATGACCCCTGCAGATGAGTGCCGTCGATCTTAGAATCATCACCGCACACTTCACTCACCCATTTTTTGGGCAGTCACGGGGCCAAAAGACCAGAGTGTGGAGCCCACAGTCCCTGTGGCTGGTGCGGTTGGAGGCAGCAGCAAGATGGGAGGCCATACAGCACCCTATGACAAAAATGGAAACCCTCAGCAGTGTGAGGAGACCCTGAAAGTGGCACATGGCAGAGTGTGGGCGATATAGATGACAGCAGCAATGGGCCCCCGTACAGGACCCCATGACCCACTCTGGACCTGGCAGCAGCATGAGGAGGCGGTACAGGGGCCCCATGGCCAGATTACGGAGCCCCCTGGCAGCAGCATGAGGAAGTCGGTACGGGGGCCCATGGCAGATTACGGGCCTGGCGAGCAGCAATGGGACGGCCGTTCAGGGACCCATCCTGGACACACTCTGGAGCCTCGGGCAGCTGCCATGGGGAGGCGGTACAGGGGCTCAACATCTTCCAGATTACGGGCCCTGGCAAGCAGTCAGGAGGAGTCCGGTAACGGGGCTCACCCTCGACACACGTCTGGACCTGGCAATCAGCTGCATGATGGAGGCGGTACAGGGGGCGCAAGACAGAGATTTACGAGCCTGGCAGCAGCAACTTGGACATGAGGATCGTTTCAGGCTTCTTGCAAACCGTTGCTAGGTGAGTGCTCGCTAAACTGTATGGTCTCTTTAGAGAAACCTGATTCCAAGAAATACTGCTGACGGAATCGTTGCAATGAGGAAGTAGCATGGAGTAAGAGGAGCATTCTGAACGAGCGGAATATGGCCAACACCTAGCGACGAAACAGGGGCCCATGCACAGATTACGGGGGCCTGGCTGCAGCATGAGGAGTCGGTACTCGGGGGCCTAAGCATGGCAGTCTTAGGGCCTGTGCATCAGCTTGATGGGAGGCCGTAATCTGCCAGCAACCCCCCCCTATGACAAAAAATGGAACCCACCAGCAGACTGCGGAGACCTGAAAGCTGGCATACCATGGCAGAGTGTGAGCCCCTCCGATTAGAACAGCAGCAATGGAGGCCGCATCTCCTCTACAGGACCCATGCGAGACTCTGGACCTGCGGTTCAGCATGAGGAGGCGGTTATAGAATGGGCCCATGTTCAGATTAGGGTTCCTGGGCAGCAGCTTTGGGAGGCCCGTAATCTGCGCAGCACCCTATGACAAAAATTGGATACACCCTCAGCAGTGTGTGGAGACCACTGAAAGTGGCACATGGCTCCCCCGAGTGTGTGGCCGATGGAGACAGGCAGCAATTGGGAGCCTGTACAGGGACCCATGAGAGACCTGGACTTGGCAGCAGCATCCGGCGAGGAGGCGGTATAGAGGGGCCTTCGCCTCTGGCAGATTAGGGGCCTGGCTAATTCAGCTATGGAGAGGCCCGTAATCTGCCAAGCACCCTATGACAAAAAACTGTAACATCCCTTCAGCCTGCAGTGCCTGAGGAGACCTGGAAAGTGGCACATGTTTTGGGGCTTGATTCATGGGCGGGATTTAGTCAATGGTGTCAGGAACTGGTAGGTTTGAAATCCAGACTCCTAATCCACGCCATTGATTCTTCATTTCAACAAACGTCCAGGCATCTCCCACCCTTTGGGTGGGACAGTCGTGACCGCATCCCCGCGGAGTTTGCAATACCCTCCTTTCCTGCCTGCACTAAAACACCGCGCTCCGATGCCACTCCCCGCTACTGGCCGGGCATGACACGACCTTTCAAGTGCTCAAATTCAGTCTAGTTTGGGGCCCCCTTAAGGTCCTCAAGTTTGCCTCGTTGCCCAGTTAGTCAAGGGGATTGTCTACCCTCGGTCCTTGGCAGAGTGCTGTCCAAGTAGGCCACTTAAGCCTGTTGTTTGCCCGGTCCTGCTCCATGTCCAGCCACCTGGATGCTGCTGCTAGCTGCGGTGGTCCCTAGTAGTTTCCTCACATGCGCTGGTGAATACAAAGTACTCATCATCGATCACTGCAGTACCTACCCAGGCCAGCCGCTGCTGGTTGGAGCTTGCCACTGCACCTCCCTCTTTCTCATCTGCCACCCCTACCCACTGCTTGCCATGGCAGCGGAACGCGGAGCTGCAACTAAGGCCCACAGTGTCTGAGGTATGGACGTTGGCGCAGCTCCAGTAGCAGAGGACCAGGCTGACTACATAGGTGGTTTTTATAGTAAACCGTTATTTTGCGCCTCCCTCTCAGAAGGTGTGAAAAATGCCACCATTTTTGAGACGGTTTAGCTCCACGGGTCTCTCCAACAAGGTGGTGGGAATGCAGCCAAAAGTCTATCCCTCCCTACTCTGATGGTTATTCTTCGAGGAAAGCTGCCTACGCAAGCAAGCCGAGCATGCTATGGGCCATTTGCTGCCAAGGAATGCGAGGGACTCCCCTGCCTCCATCTCCACAGCATACTGCCACGGTGCGTCTTCATCTGGGTCCACCCGTCTGTCTCCTCCTCCTCCTCCTCCCACTTGCTAGTGCCAGATGCCTCCTGCTCCTCCACCACTCCTCCTGTCCGCGTGAGTGGAAAAAACCTCCCTTTCACTCTCCTTAATTCCTGAGCACTCCACATGTCCTTCCTCTTTACCTCCTCCTCTTCTTCCTGTCCTGCTCCCTACAGGTGGTTCAGTGTGCGTTGAGATCTGTGCGCCACGTCCTACCGCACCCGTTGACCTGACCATTGTTAACAGCATTTGTTCCAGGGACGTGCAACTGAGCAATTGACGTCGTTCAATCCCATAGTCCTAGCCAGACTCACGAAATAGCTTTTATACTGGCCTCCTTCAAAGGGCGTGAGCACAAGCTGTACCAGGTGTCACGCATGAGCTGCCATTGGCTGAACTTCTAATGTTTACACAGGGAGTACCTTTATCCGGCTTTTTAACAATCAGGAAATCTGGGTGATGGCGCCCTCTTTCGCTTTTCGTTAAAGGCTGTCTAACATATGCTAGGTGTTGAATTCCACCTTGGGTTGCAGGGGACGTCACAGCATCGAGGAGCGTCGGTGTCTTCAGTGGTGGTACACTATGGCATAGTAGACGACGGCTTCGTACCGCTGAGCAGACAGCGATACAGACAGCAATGGGAGGCCCGTAATCTGGCCAGCACCCTATTGTCGGCCAAAAAATTCTTAGACTCACCAGCAGGTGTGAGGAGACCTGGAAAGAGGCACATGGCAGAGTGTGGCGATGGAGGACCAGCAGCAAATGGGATGGCCGTACTGGGACCCGCATGAGAGACTATGGACCTGTTGGCAGCAGCCATGGAGGAGGCCGGTTGGTATGGGTATATAGGGGCCTATGGCAGATAGGGGGCCTGGCAAGCAGCAATGGGAGGCCCGTAATCTGCCAGCACCCTATGTCAAAAGAAAATTCTACAAACACCAAGCCATTGTGTGATGAGACCATTGAAAGTGGCACATGGCAGAGTGTGGCGATGGAAGGACAGCAAGCAAATGGGAAGGCCGTTAACAGTGACCCATGAGAGACCCTGGACCTTGGCAGCAGCATGAGGATGGCGGTGTATAGGGCGCCCATGGCGTGATTAGGGGGCCTGGCGCAGCATCAAGTGTGAGGCGCCTTAATCTGCCAGCAACCCTAATGTTCAAAAAAAATTCCTACACACCATCAGTGGTGTGTTGGAGGAGACCTGAAAGCTGGCACAAATGGCGAGAGTGTTGGCGATGGAGACAGCAGCAATGGGGAGGGCCGTATTTACAGAGGTATCCCATTGAGAGATCTCTGGACCTGGCAAGGCATCATGAGGACGGCGGTATAATAAGGGGCCGTATGGCAGATTAAGGGCTCCTGGTCAGTCAGCCTATAGGAGGCCCGTAATCTGCCAAGCCACCCTATGTTCAAAAAATTCTACACCACCAGCAGTGTGAGTAGACCTGAAAGTTGCACATGGCAGAGTGTGTTGTGTGGCGATGGAAGACAGCACAAGTGGGTGGCCGTAACAAGGGGACCCATGTGAGACTCTGGACCCTCGGCGCTGCCATCTATGAGGAGGCGGGTATATATTGGGGCCAATGTTGCTGATATAGGGGGCTCTGGCAGCATCTATAGGAGGCCCGTAAATCTGCCATGCACCCTATGTCAACAAAATTATACATCGACCAGCGCAGGTGTGAAAGGAGTACTCTGAAAGAAATTTAAATGGCACATGGCAGAGTGTGTGGCGATGGAGACTGCAGCTACATGGGAGGCCGTACAGGGAATCCAATGAGAGACTCTGGACTTGGCAGCAGCCTGGAGGATTGGCGGTATATAGGAGGGCCAATGGCAGATAAATGGGGACCTGTGCGAGCAGCAATGGGAGGACCCGTAATCTGCCAGCACCCTATGTCAAAATAATACTAACACACCAGCAAGTGTGAGGAGACCCTGAAAGTGGCACATGGCATGAGACACTGTGGACCTGGCAGCAGCATTAAGGAGGCGGTATAAATAGGGGCCCCATGGCAGATGTAGGGGCACTGGCAGCAGCTATAGGAGGCCCATAATCTGCCAGTCGCATCCACATATGTCAAAAAAAATTCCTGACACACCAGCAGTGTGGAGAGGAGACCTGAACTGTGGCCACATGGCGAAGAGTGTTGCGATTGAGACAGCACGCAATGGAGGCCGTACAGGGAGACCCATGAAGAGACTCAGGACTTGGCTAGCAGCTGCGCATGAGGAGGCGGTATAAGGGGCCCATGGCAGATTAGGGGCCATGGCAGCAAGCATATGGGAGTCCCGTAATCTGCCAGCACCCTATGTCAAAAAATTCTACACACCACAGTGTGTGAGAACCTGAAAGTGCAACATGGCAGCGTGTGGCGATGGAGACAGCAGCAAAGGAGGGCCGTACAGAGACCCCATGATAGACTCTTGACCTGTCAGCAGCATGAGGTAGGCGTAATATAGGGCCAATGGCAGATTATGGGCCTGGCAGCAGCATTAGGATGGCCCGTAATCTGCCAGCAGCCTATGTCAAAAAATTCTACAACACGCAGTCAGTGTGAGGAGACCGTTACTGTGGCACCATGGCATGAGACCCCCTTCTGTGACCTGGCAGCAGCATGTGAGAGGCGGTATATAGGGCACCATGGCAGATTAGGGCCTGGCAGCAGCTAAGGGGAGGCCCGTAATCTGCCAGCACCCTATGTCAAAAATTCTACCACACACCAGGCAGTGTGTGAGGAGACCTGAAAGTGGCACACTGGCATGGAGACAACTGTGGACCTAGCTGGCAGACAGCAAGCAATGGGAGGCCGGTGCACAGGGACCCATGAGAAGACTCTAGACCATGGCGCGGGCAGGCAGCTGATGGAGGCCGTAATATGCCAGCCAGCCCTATGGCGAGAAATCATACACCTGGCAGCAGCCTATGTAGGAGGCCCGTAATCTGGTCAGCACGCCTAGAGTGTGGCCCAAAAAAATCAACACACCAGCAGTGGTGAGGAGACCTGAAAGTGCACAGGGACCGCATGAGAGACTGTGGACTTTGGCAGCAGCACTTGAGGGAGGCGGTATATAGGGTGCCCATGCGCAGATTACGGGGCCTGGCAGCAGCTACTTGGAGGCATGTACGTAATCTGCCAGCACCCTATGTCAAAAAAAAATTCAACACACACAGCAGTGTGTCGTGAGAAGAACCTGAAAGTGGCACATGGCATGAGACACTGTGGAAACCTGGAGACAGCAGCTATAGGGGGAGGCCGTAACAGAGACCCATGACAGACTCTGACCTGGCACGACAATAGGGAAGGCGGTACAGGGGCCCATGGACAGATTAAGGCCTGGCAGCAGTCAATGGGATTGCCCGTAATCTGCACAGCACCTACTTTGTCCAAAAATGTTAACTACCTGGGCTGGGTGAGCAGCAGAACCGGCCGTATCTTTATTCATGGTTTTTCCCAAAATGGCCACCGAATGTGGATGACTGCATATGCTGAGACAGCACGCAACGCTGTAGTCCCAACATGGGCCACGCCTGAGAAGACGTCTTAGACTTGGCAGGCCACATGAGGGAGCGGTACATAGACGCCTAACGCATTACTTCCTAGGGGGTCTTCTGGCAGTACCATTTGGGAGGACGGTAATCTGCCAGCACCCTATGTCAAAAATCATGCCAACACACCAGCAGTCCTCACAGAATATCTGAATGGTGAGAACTCATTATGCATGACACACCGCTGGACTGGCAGCAGCATGGATGGAGCGGGGGGGGGGAGGGGGACTGTATACTAGTGCTATGGCAGGATTAGGGCCTCCGTGCAGCTCAGCGCAATAGGAGAGGCCGTTAATACTGGCCAGCACCTGGTAGCTGCAGTGGAGCTGGTGCTCTACACTTCCAGCAGCCGTGTGAGGAGACCTGACACTCGCGCATGGCAGAGTGCTGCCGATGGAGACATGCAGCAACAGCAATTGGGAGGCCGTACAGGGAAACCGCATGACGACACTCTGGGGACCTTGGCTGCTGCATGAAGACGGCGGTTACTATATGGGGCCCATGGCAGTATTAGGGGCCTGGCAGTGCAGCTATTAGGAGGTCCGTAATCTGCCAGCTACCCCAAAGTCCAAAAAATGGAACACAACTCACCAGCAGTAGTGTGAGAGAGACCTCAAAGGGTTGGCACATGTTTGGGGCAGATTCATGGCGGATTTAGTCCAGTTGTGTGCAGGAAACTGGATGGTTTGAAATCCAGACTAGATTCCACGCCTCTGATTCCTTTTCCAACAAAACGTGAAGTCACTCCACACTTTGGCGGGCGTGGACAGTCGTGTCCTCCGCGGAGGTTACAATACCTCCTGCCGCACTAAACACGCGCTCCGATGCCCACGCACACTGGCCCGAGGGCATCAGACAGCCTTTCAAGGGCAAATTTCAGTCTAGTTGGGGCCAAAGGTCAAGTTTGTCCGTTGGCCAGTAGTCTCAAGGTGATTGTCACCTCGGTTGGCAAGGGTGCTGTCCAAGTAGTCCCAGAGCCTGTTGTTTGAGGTCCTGCTCCAGTTCCCACCTGATGCTGCTGCTGCTGCTGCTGCGGCTGGTTAGTAGTTTCCTCACTGCGCTGGTGAAGAAAGCTACTCATCATCGACTGCAGACTGAGGCAGCCGCTGCTGGTGGAGCTGTGCCACCTGCTCCTACCACCCCACCCCTCCCCTGCTGCCATGGCAGCGGATGGCGAGCGCACAGGGCCCACAGTGTCTGAGGTATGGACGTTGGCGCACAAAGGCAGAGACCAACTGACTACATAGGTGGTTTTTATAGTACGTTATTTTGGCCTCCCTCTCAGCAGGTGTGAAAAAGGCCACCATTTTTTGAACGGTAGCGAGGGGGTCCAACAAGGTGGACAGCAAAAGTCCATCCCTCTGTCTGGATGGTTATTATTTGGCTGTCGCTACGCAAGCAACCTGAACGGAGCATGCTATGGGCCATTTCGTTGCCAAAAGGAATGCGAGGGACTCCCTGCCTCCATCTCCACAATGCATACTGCCCACGGTATTTGCCGTCTGGGTCCTCTGTCCTCCTCCTGCCTCCTCCTCTACCAGTATGCTCTGATCCTCCACTCCTGTCCGCTGAGTGGGGAAAGAAACCACCCATGTTCACTCAATAATTCCTGAGCACAAATGTCCTCCCTCTACCTCCTCTCTCTATCTTCCTGTCCTGCCCCCACTCAGGGTCATGTGGCGTTGAGATCTATGTGACGCCACGTCTACCGCACCCTGACCAGCCATTGTTAACAGCATTTGCTTCTCATGGAGTTGCTACCAGAGGAATGACGTCGTTCATCCAATCAGTCCTAGTCGACTCAACGAATAGCGTGGCACTCCTCAATGGGCTGACGCAAGCAGGCATGGTGTCACGCATGAGCATGCCAAATGGCTGACATCGAAGTTACTACCAAAAAACAGGGGTAGTAACCTTTATCCGCATATGTAACATACAGGAAATCGGTGGATGGCCTTTCGCTGCTCTTTCTCGTATAAGGCCGAGGTCTAACATGTGTCAGGGTTGAATTCCTCACTTGTTTGCGCCAACGTCGCAGATCAGGCGATGATGTGGTAATTCCGTTCCTAGCCAGCTGCAGCTCAAGGAGGGTGTGCTTTGCCGGTGTGTAGGTACTGGGCTGAAATGCATGCAAAGTGTACGTGACATTTTATAGGTATGTCTTGCTCAGAGTGGTGATGGTGGAGTTTTCGGAATCCGTCTCTCTTGACACCACCTGATTTGAACACGTGGAGCTCCATGCATGGCGCATGGCACAATCCTTCCTTTGACAGCAGAGCAGACACCTATGTTCTTTACGTTCGTCTGGTCAAAATGGTTCCGATTTTCAGTTATTGCGCGGAGGGGACCAGCCATCTGTCGATTTCTCTGTTCAATTACACTCTCGAAGTTCCTAACCCTGTGTGACCTAACCGTTAAGCGCCTGGACTGGCTAGCAGCATGAGGAGGACGGGTATAGAAGGGCCCAATGGCAGATTCAGGGGCTCTGGCAGCCAGCTATAGGGGAGGCCCGTAATCCTGCCAGCACCACTATGTCATAAAAATTCAACACACCAAGCCAGTGTGAGGAGACCTGATAGTGGCTACACTAACTGGCATGAGAGACTGTGATGGACACTGGCCAGCAGCATCTAGGAGGCCGGTATAGGGGCCCATGGCAGTATTAGGGGCCTTGGCAGCTGCTATGGTTGAGGCCCATAATCTGCCAAGCACCCTATGTCAAAAAAATTCAAATCACACAGCAGTGTGTGAGGATGACCTGTAAGTGGCACATGGCAGAGGTGTGGCGATGGACGACAGAAGCAATGGGAGACCGTACAGGGATCCATCGACAGACTGCTGGACCTGGCTTAGCAGCATGAGGGATTGGCGGTGGTATCATAGGGGCCCATGGCAGAAGGATTAGGGGGACTTGCAGCAGCTATGGGAGGCCCGTAATCTCGCCAAGCACCCTATGTCAAAAATACTTCAACACACCAGCAGTGTGTGTAGGGGGAGACCTGAAAGTGGCACATGCATTGAGAGACTGTGCTGACACTGGCTGCAGGCATGATGGAGCGCGAGTTATAGGGGCCCATGGCAGATTAAGGCGACCTGAGCTAAGCAGCTATGGGAGATGGGGGGGGGGGGCCCCCCCCCGTTTTTTTTTTTTTTTCAAGTCTGCCAGCACCCCTATGTTCGCAAAAATATTCAACACACACCAGCAGTGTGTCTGAGGGAGGACCTGAAAATGTGGCACATGGCAGAGTGTGGCCGATGGGAGACAGCTCAGCAACATGGCTGAAGCCGTAATTAGTACATGGGACCCATGTACAGAACTCTGGACCTTGGTCTAGCAGACATGAGGATGGCGGTATATAGGGGCCACCACATTTGGCAGATTAGGGGGCCTGGCAGCCAGACTACTGGGTGGCCCGTAATTCGTGCAGCAACCCTATGTCAAAAAATTACAACACACCAGCACAGTTGGTGAGGACGACCTCGAAAGAGTGGCACATGGCCAATGAGAGATCTGTGGATCCTGGCGTGCAGCATGAGGCATTGGGCGGGGTTATAGGCGGGCCCACATGGCATGGCGAATTAGGGGCCCTCGGCAAGAGCACGCTATGGTAGAGCCCGTAAATCTGCCAGCACCACTATGTCATAAATAATAATTGCAACACACCAGCAGCTGTGTGAGGAGACCTGAAAGCCGGCAACATGGCAGAGTGTGGCGACCTGGAGAACAAAGCCCACCGGACTTTGTTTGCTCGCCTGCCAAGCTGCCACCCTCTTCTCTCTGATGATGCGGGGGGGAATAGAAGCAATAGGCCTCGGATGACGGGACGAGGCTGCCGAAGTCGTCGATCCAGCCGCTCATTCATCA